ATCCACGAGCCCCAGGGAACGTGAAGGGGAGCCGACCCTTTAGTGAATTTTCACTAGAGGCCACGTTTACTTTCCCTTCTTTAAGAAAATCGCGCTAAGAGACGCCTCAGTAGACACTTTCCGTCAGACCAGGTCCTGCCCCCACGGGCCAGCAGCTCTGCGGGGCTCGCTCCGCCTCGCGCAGCAGGGCAGGCCCTTCTCAGCGCACCTGCTGCTGCGGCGAGGCTCGGCCTCGGCGAGGGAAGCGTTTCAGCTCCCACAGCACCCACGTTTTCACCCGCTGGCGAGTCAGCGGCCTTTCCTGACGTTTTCAGGGGTTGAGGCCACGTGCAGTCACAGCCTCGTGAGCCCTGAGGTGAGGCGGGCAGGCTCTGCCGGGGTCACGCGGCCTCAGTTCACCTGCTTTCAGCGCACGTGCTCTCAGCGTCAGAAAGCACAGTGACGACCGGACGCAATGCTTTCTGGGCTGTCGGGGAGCGCGGGTGAGGAAGGTTAAGCACAGGTACGGATAACAGGTGCCAGCAGTTATGAAACAGGCGAGGGGGATGCTGCCGCCAGACGTGCTCAGGAATAAACACGTGCGAGGGTCAAAGAAGGTGCAGGCTGCTCACAAGCAGCATCCCCGGCCCTCTGTCTCCCCGGTGCCCCGTCCTTGTCGAGAACCGAGGGGAACAGCAGAAACACTGCAGCTGGAGCTCACAGCCCGCTCCATCTTCCCGATAACGATCAGCTATTATTTACGACAGAATTTAAATTGGTTCAAACCGAATGCATTTAGAAGGGATTTGTAAGATAGCCTTATGAGATCTTAGGGGTGGAAATGGTTTAATTTGTATTTTTCAGAAAAATGGACAGAATTCTTAAAAAAAAAGTCTCCATTATTGTCTACATCTGCTCAGATAAAGTCCCCACAGCCACAGTCCTAAGCTTTGCATGTGACCCTGACACGCTCCGTGTGGGAAAGCTACATGTCGATGCGGCCCGCACGCAAACAACAGTACCTGCTCATCGCAGCCCTGCTCCCCCCACGCAGCCATGTCACCGACCTCCTCACATTCGTTAAGCATTTAAACATCCGATTAGAAAGTGTTTGCTAGGAACATAGGAAATACGGCCTCACAACGCTTTGGCCGTTCGAAAGAGGGCGTTTACACGGACGTGCAGCTCACCTGCTGTGAAATCTCCAGTCAGGTCGATGAATGCGTGAGAATGTGGAATTCGCATTTTACTTTTAGTGGTCAATGCAGGGTGCCAGGATAAATTCCTAAAAACAACACCAAGATTTTCTTAAGTCAAACATCAAATGAGCATTGTTTTAAAACAAACAAACAAACAAACAATCGGTGCATGCAGACGTGTAAAAATTTTTATTTCCTTTATTTAGCTGTTTCACATAACCCAAGCTTCCCCATCTGACATTCTCGCTAGCAATGTAGGAGGGTTCCAATATCTGCATTTCTTTGTCAACACTTATTACTGTCCATTTGTTTTATTATAACTATCCTGTGCTCGCTGGCCATTTGTATATCTTCTTTGGAGAAGTGTCTATTCAAAGCCGTTGCCTGTTTGAAAATTGGCTTATTTACTGCTTTATGTTTGAGTTGTAAGAGTTCTTTATAAAGACTGAATACTAGATCTTCATCCAATGTATGACTTGCCAATGTCTAGTTTTTCTTTTTTGCTTGTCCTTTTGGTGTCATATATAAGAATTCATTTCCAAATCCAAGGTCATGAAGTTTTACTGCTATGCTTTCTTCTGAGAGTTTTATAGTTTTAGCTCTTATATTTATACATCTTTTTTTAAATACAAGAAAAAATGATTAAATATTTTTTCCTAGACTGTAGTAATGGTTATCTTGTATGAATATTAATTTCAAAGTTTGAGCCATGCAGAAGAATTTAGACTCTACCTCAAACCATATAACAAAAATTAACTCAAAATGGATCCAAGAGCTAAAATTAGAAAACTCTTAAAAAAACAGTGATAAATCTTCATGACCTTAGATTTGGAAATGGATTCTTAGGCATGACACCAAAATAACAAGCAATAAAAGAAAAAATAGATGAACTGGGTTAATCAAAATTAAAAACTTTTGTACATCGTAAGACATCTCATCTCTGATAAGGCTCTGGTACCCAGACTACATCAACAACTCTTACAGCTCAACATCAGAAAGACAAACAACCTAATTTAAAAACGGCCCCGGCCTAGCCATTTCTCCTAAGAAGACATACAAATGGCTGCCCAGCCAACAAAAAATGCTTAACATCATCTGTCAGTGAGGAAATGCACACCAAAACCAGTGAGCAACCACTCCCAGGCCAGGAATGGCACCATCAAAAGCCAGGCGTATGAAGTGGTCCAGCGCCTGTGGGAAACAGGTCGGCACCCCTCAAAGCTCAGACACAGACTCACACAGGGCCCTGCCTTTCCACACGAGGCATCTACCCGCAGAACTGGGGGGTGAGCATGCTTACGTGAAAGCATCCCCCCAGTTCATCGGCAGGCATTCCCGTCCGCAAGGCCCCACACAAATCAGCCTCCTGCAAAAGGCCTTGCTCTCCTCCGACCTCTCCCTATAACACGTTCTCCACTAACAGCGCTGTGGTTTGTGTTGCAGCCACTGGAGGAACCTTCTCTTTGAGGGGTGAGCCGCTCCAGGCACCCTGACCCCTAGCTTTATGCCTACGACGCCTAACCAGGACCTGCCCAGATGCTGGCGCCCCGAGTCAGAGGCTTCAGTAGCACCTCCCACTCTGCTTCTAGTTAGAATTTGCTCCCCCCCATTATGTCCAGCCCCTTATGGAAGTACAGACACGTCATCTCTGAAGAGCAATTTAAGGCTCATTAAGTCCAACTTAATTGTCCACACAGCATCCAACTGGCTGTGCAGCAAACAAGGTTTGCTTGTGAATTCAGTTTTGATGTGTTTGGAGAGTGGAGAGGAACAATTGCTAATCTGTGCTTGGCAGTTGGAGCCTGGGAGAGAGAATACGCATTCATCAGGAGGGATTTTTCTGCAAAGAGTAACTTCTTCCCGATGACCTCCGTATACACTCTTTTTAGCACATATCGGGCCTCCGCTGTAAGCTGAACATGGCAGGAAAAACAAAACCCAGCACTACCGGTACACCCTAATTTTATTATTTTAACCAAAACCCCATGATATAAGGTTATGATGAATTTTATAAATTGAGAAACTGTATTTAGCATTTGTTGTAAGGTAATTCAATGCCAGGCATTCATGCTGTGTTCTTTCAGACTACACACGGTTAGAAATGCTTAAAATAACTTCAATTAAGTTCAATTGAATACTGGCTGGTTCACTTCTTTTCAAGATAGGCCATGCATTCATCGGTCCTTTAAACTCTAAGCATTCAGGTATTTTTAATTACTAACAAAATAATCAGACTCAGGCTAGAGATTCTATGACAAGTTTAACCCAAAGTCATTTCAGAAGCGCTTCCTGATGTTTCCAACAAATTTGTAATTATAGGCCAAACTGAGATAAAAACAGGCTTTTATGAAGTTGAGCTTAATGAGGTTAATCATGGGTCTGTGATTAATTACTATCAGCACAGTTATTGATCTCATTGCCTATAGAATGTTCTACAGGTTTGCTTTAAAGTAAGCTACAACTAGAATTTTGGAAAACTTCAAATAACCGGTGATATTTTTCCTAGGAACTATTTGACAAAAATGTGCATTTCAAATGAAGAATTGAGAATAGTGATAAAGAGTAATAAAAAGGGGATGGGCCGTATCCAGTAGAAAGATGTTTTATCTGAGCCTTACAATGTTTTACAAGTTTTGAATTCACCGCTAAAACTTAAGTAAAAAGTCAGGTTTCACCTAAAAACCTGGATTTCCAGCTTCCCTGGGAACATCAGCAGGCCTGACAACCCCTGGCAAGCGCCCGCAGGCAGCGGCGTCATCCCTTCGCTTCCTCCTGGGCCCCTCAGACGCCTGAGTTGGAAACTCCTCACGAACATTAGCTGTGATCTTGCTCCCTGAACATTTCACATGAATCCTGCAGGTCATCGCAATGTTAACGTGGATATGCGCTGCCTGTCCTCTGCTGTGTCACATGGACACCTCCTACAGGCGGTTACCTGACCCTCACATGTATGCAGGGCCCTTGCACCACGCTGCTGTGTACCACGGCGTGCTGCATGTTCATGGTTGAGAGTGGAATACAGATACAGCTGTTTATCAGAATCAAATGGTTTAAAATTTTACAGTTCAAAATAGAATTCATTTTTCCTTCTACCTTCAATGCGGCTCTTTGTACTCATAGTTTTTCAGTAATAAGAGCAGACACCGTAGTTTTCAAGCAACTGTGCTCACATAAGCTATAATCTCATCCGTGCTCAACTCCATTGGAAGGCCAAGGTCGCAAGTACAAGCTATTCTGATTACAAAGGAAGAAACAGCAGCGATGAAAGTGGGCAGTTCTGAGCCAGGTTGAGTGTATTGGTTGACATTTCTTGACCTCTGTAGAAAATTCCAATTATTAGCTTTTCCCCCCACGGGAAGCATACTCATGTCAAGGTGTTCTGATTTGTGGGCCTCATCACCCTTAATCTCAAAGAACAGCATTTATCAAAGAATCCATTTAAATGTAATTAATGTCAACCACAGCTTTTGGTTGCCTATGGTAACTGCTGTTTGAAGTGACTGCTAGTCCACCCACTTTCCCCCATCAGCCTGTGCCGAGTTATCATTGTTCAAGGGAGCCCAGTGAGGGCACCGACTAGGCGATGGCTCTGGCATAAAGATGGGTCTAGCTTAGACTCTAGCCTGCTTCTCCAAGCTGCCTCGTTCTTTTTTTTTTTTTTTTTTTTTTTTTTAAATATCCTCACCTGAGGATATTTTTCATTGATTTTAAGAGAGAGCTGGGAGGGTGGAGAGAGAGAGAGGAACATTGATGTGAAAGAGGCACATCAATTGGTTGCCTCCCACACATACTGACCAGGGCTGGGGTTTGAGCCTGCAACCGAGGTACGTGCCCTTGACCAGAATCGAACCCGAGACCCTTCAGTCCAGGAGCTGATGCTCTATCCACTAAGCCACACCAGCCATGGCAGCCTCGTTCTTTAGCCCACTGGCCCTCACACATTTCTGCTCAGACAGACTCTAAAACAGCCGTGGGCAAACTACGGCCTGCGGGCCGGATCCGGCCTGTTTGAAATGAATAAAACTAAAAAAAAAAAGACCGTACCCTTTTATGTAATGATGTTTACTTTGAATTTATATTAGTTTACACAAACACTCCATCCATGCTTTTGTTCCGGCCCTCCGGTCCAGTTTAAGAACCCATTGTGGCCCTCGAGTCAAAAAGTTTGCCCACCCCTGCTCTAAAAGAATTTTGAAAATCTGTGTGCCCTTGAACACGGATTTAAATTCATTTCTAAGAAATGTAACCTAAATATTTTCATCAGCCTAGATAGCTACAAAATAGGAAATCTTCAAATCTATTAGAATTGTTGAGATTTTAAAATAAAACAGTTACTCTTAAAAATGCATCCAGTGGAATATAACTACCATGCTGAGTTGCTACGGGGACCGCCATCCACACACAAACATGACACGCTGCTCCTCTTTAATTGCAACCGTCCCCTCTATCCTTGACGTTGTGCCTCCATCCCACTTCCTTACAGAACTTCACCATGATGGAAAAGTTTCTATATCTGAGATCTTCTTAGCGATCACTCGATCCTATGTCTCTGAAGAAATGCAGGTCTACAAGTTGGTATGTCAATTAAAATTGGTATCTAAGTGGTTTTGTTTATGTATCCAAGTGTTTAAAAAACCCTGAGGTTATTTTAACTACGAGTACAACTGATAAGAACACACTTTATACAGCTTGATCACGTACTAAGCCAAAGGTGAAATTGTACGGGAAATGGGTATTTGTAGGAGCCGAGTGGAGCTTTATCATGGATTGGCTCCTGTGTCCTATGGCACCGCTAGAGCGAGACAGGATCAGCAGTCTACACCCACTCTTCGCCCTCACAGACTAGGTGCTAAGAAATCCTGTTCATATGTCCTATTAAAATCTCCCTGGGAATATAATACTAAGAAATTATTCTTACTTTGTTAGGTCTGATATACTGTAATTATCTATTTTTTAAAATCCTTATTTTTTAGAGCTATATACTCAAACGTGTATAGATTACTGTGGAGAGCAGCTACAGTGTTTGGACAGGTTCAAGCCTTGGACTGATGAGAAGGCACAGTCCTCTCGTGGCCACGTGCAAGTCCCGGCTTGGAGGGCAGAGCCCTCCCAGCACAATTATAGCCAACAGCTGTAGTTGTGAGCGTGAACCTGTGGTCCGAACACGTGGCCCCACGTGCCTGTGTGATAAGAGTTCAGGTGCGTGTAATTGAGTGGGACTGAAATCCACGAGAACGTTGTAAACATCTTGACCACGCTCTTACTTTGCCTGGTGGCATCTGCTATAAAATAAAAGACACGGCTTGTGGGCGCTGGCGCTGTCTCTCTCCATCCGAGAGGGCAGCGTCCCACCGAGACCCAGCTTTCATTCTCTTGTCTGTCTTTTCTAATCCTTTCACCGTCCCCTCTCAGGGTCTCTGAACCAGGCTGAGCTGGCGGCACATAAGGCGCCCTGGGGCTGAGTATGCCATGGCCGTGCCAGCTAGCCACAGATTACACACGTCTGGGGAGGGAGCTAGAAGTGAATGAGCTAAGACTGGTCAGGCGTTGATGACGACAGCTGGATGACTGGTGCGTTATGCACAAATTCATGGCTCTGTCCTCCTCCCCTGCGCATACGTTTCAGGTTTTCCATATTAAAAGCAAAAAGGGAGCTGCAGAGCTGCTGGCGTAGCTGCGGGTTCAGTGTAGGGAAACGTCTGCCGTATAATCCAATCCGCAGAGCCAGGCCTCACTGTCTCACCAGCCTCCAAAAGAAAGTTATTTCTGTCTGAAGGAGTCTGACCTCATTTCTCCAGTTCACATAAATGTGCGAATATGCATCTCAAGGAATATCATAAAAACTGCCGGGCCAAGGACAGACTATAGAGGGTAGGGCAGACTACCCAAAGCAGCCAATGTTAAAATAAGGACACCAGCAGGAGAGATTGACAATTATTAAGTTTTTTTTAATCCTCACCTGAGGATACCCCCCCTCCCCTGACTCATTTCTAGAGAGAGTGGAAGGGAGGTAGGAGGGGGAGAGAAAGAGAGAGAAACAGGACTGGTTGCCTCCCCCACATCCCCCGACTAGGGCGGGGATCAAACCTGCCACCGAAGTACGTGCCCTTGACAGGGAACGGACCCGCAGCCCTTTGGCCTGTGGACCCTGCTCTGACCATTCAGTGAACCAGCCAGGGCCAGAACCAGTTCTAAAAGCCATAGTTTTTCATGAATCATCAGAGAAGCAAAATCTAATATAGAATTCACAAGGAAATAAGCTATGCGACTGTCACATGACATTCTAGGTAGGTTTCCTGTAGACCCAGGAGAAAGTTCATGAAGATACTAGACAGGTTCCTGCGCAGTCCCAGCCCCAGGCAAACTCGCAGGCCTCGCTGTGGCAGGAGTGGCCCGTGCAGCCCCCAACCGCCCCCCCCCCCCCCGCCACAGCTCCTGGCCACGAAGGCAGGTCCCACAACCCCACACATATAAGGCTCCTGGCCACCAAGGCAGGTCCCACAACCCCACACACACGTGGCTGCTGGCAAAGCCAAAGCAGGACCTCCCTCCACTGGCCTGTTAACCAGGGTTCTCTTCCAGGCGCTTTTCACAGCTTGGGGGGTAAACAAGTCTCTGGTTCAGGATTCACAGCAAGTCAAAGGTCACTGTGAACAGCAGCAAGACACCCACGTTCTTTACTGCAAACCTTTGGAAACAGTGACAGGAAGTGTGAGAGCTTCTCTTCACCTTGAATTTTAACAACTGACTCATCTGCGTGCCTGTGAATCACATCTCAAAACCTAACCGCAAAAATACGCGACTTCTCCAAAGCACAGAAGGAGCCGCCATTGATGTCCAAGCCCCTGGGCAGATGATGGGTCCAGGGAAGTGTCCGTGTGCTGGGAAGGCAAGAGTAAATACTGTACTCTGTCCTCAGGAACGAAAATGTGGCTTCATTTGCAAAATCCCTCTTAGCGGTTTTGTTATCAGATACAAAAGAAAGTAGCCAAGTGGAACAGGCTAGTGAAAAGTGCCTTGTCATGAATTCTGTGCTAGGACAGCTCTATTTTAAGCCTAGAGGAACTGTAATGAAGATCTTAGAACTGGCCCGGCCGGCGTGGCTCAGTGGTTGAGCACTGACCTGTGAACCAGGAGGTCATGGTTTGATTCCCGGTCAGGGCACAGGCCCAAGTTTCGGGCTTGATCCCCACTGTGGGGCGTGCAGGAGGCAGCTGATCCATGAATCTCATCATTGATGTTTCTATCTCTCTGTCCCTCTCCCTTCCTCTCTGAAATCAATAAAAATATATTTAAAAAAACGATCTTAGAATTGCAAGGCTCCAGATGGTTTCTTCTGAGAACAGCTGCTGGGACGGGAAGAGTCCTCGCACACCACTGGTCAAGGAGAAAGTGTACACGGAAGGGCCCCAGGGCGAGGGAGGGATGTTGACTCTGACAGCAGTCATTGCTCACTGAACAAATACAAGGAAAAGGAAGGCAGTGCATCCCTGAGCCTGGGCGCTGAGGCGGAGAATCAGGCTCCATCCAATGACCCAGCCTCCACACGGGCCCGGGGCCTGGGTCTCCAGTGTCCAGAAGGCGGGGGAGATGCGGCTGCTCTCACAGAGCGCACTTGCAGCCCCAACCGGACGGCCTGGGAGCGCTCACGCGGACCAGACGCCCTTTCCGCGTCTTTCCCACCAAAGGTTTCCAGTGGCTAATGCAATCGGCTCACACTGACACAGTCCCCGTAGGGCTGACACCTACACCGAATTACACGGTAATAAGCATGTCGTTTACTCACCCTCCTAACAGAATCTGTGGCTGGCTGGCTTCATGCGTGACGCCAAACACATCAGGAATTAAATCACCATTGAAGCTGAAAAGAAAACACGAGGCAGCGATGTTATCCAATTCTCCACCGTGGCTTTAGAAGGAAAAGGACCCCCGGGAGGGGTGGGAGACATCAGGATGCTCACAGCATCTGCTGTGGTCCAGGAAGGTCAGCAGAAGGGCCAGGGCCACCTCCAGGCAAACGGTTTGGCTGTGGTCACCAGACGCTCCGGCCCTCCTGCCGTGGCCACGAGGAGAGCACATGTCTCAGGGTCCGGCTGCACACAGGGGTGCGGGGTGAGCAGGACGAAACCTGTGCTCTAGACCCTGGGGCTGCCGCCACCTCTGCCTGACCGCGTCCATCCCCGAGGGACACGGAGACGCCACTTACTGCAGAACCTGACCCAACCTGTTCAGTCGATGGACTTAGGAGAAATAACCGGCTGGTATCCAAGTCCAAAGGGGCCGCTGCATGTTGCGGTAACAATGAAAACATGCAGCAATGGAAGAAACCAAGCTGAGTGCCGTAAGGAGATCAGTCCATGGGTTTACAGAGCTCTGAGGGCCACTGGCCTATTGATATCATGACTGTGACTTTAATAACTAGGAAAGGACAGAGTGGCCATGTGCTGCTTGTCCCCCAAATGATCTCCACCACATTCCCGAAAACCCTGAAATCCGTATTAATTTTATCCCTGTATGGGTCTGCATTGAGGAAATAAGTGATAACATCCAGGAAGAGCTGTAAAAAAGGACAGAAGTTTCTCCTAAATATAAAAACCCGTGTAAAACGCAGGAGGCAACCCTGTACTCTGGATATCCATCCATGAAGTAACAGTTTTACCCAAAGCAGTTCTCTTAATTCCCTGATTAATGACATGGCTGGAATCACCATGGGTCCGTAACAGACACAATCAAAACTACTGAAACAGAAAGAAAACACAAATCCCCTCTTCTTTAAAAAATAGCGAATTTCATTTTCCTCTTTCCTCCATCATGGCAAATAAATACATCACTGAGAGCCCGGGCCCTATCGGCTTTAAAGGGAGAATGAATTTAGTGTCAATACTACTTAGCAAAGTAGTTTTTAAAAAATATATATTTTTATTGATTTCAGAGAGAAGAAGAGGGAGAGAGAATTATGGATCGGCTGCTTCCTGCACGCCCCCCCACTGGGGATCGAGCCCACAACCCGGGCATGTTCCCTGACAGGGAATTGAACCGTGACCTCCTGGTTCATAGGTCAATGCTCAACTGCTGAGCCACACTGGCCGGGCAGCAAAGTAGTTTTTCATGTGAAAAATTTTATTTTATGTTTGTAAGTTTAAAACAACTCAAAGGGAAGCAAATGCATACTTACTCCATAATCAAAGGTTCATCATGAAAAGTCCTGTTGAGCATGGTCATGTTATTAGGATCTGTAAAGAAAGCAAACACATAAATACAGGCCCTTTGGATTACCTTTTATATCCACCCGTAGGAAAAAGATAGTCTTTCAATTATTTTCAAGATTCATCTCTAACGAATTCCAACTGTTACCATTACGGAGACACTATAAACAGAACTCAAACCGACAGCCAGTTTGTAAAGACAAACCACTGGGCGAGTTCACGCCACAGTGACGACCGGCCTGACCCTAACTTCCACTTGCGCTTCCCTCGACCCACCACACGGGCCTCCTCCTCCAGGTCCGTGCTGACGGGCTGAGTCTGAAGCAGGAGAGTCCTGTCTACATCACCATGTGACAGAAAACACGACTGCGCCCCTCCAGGAACAAAGCTGTCTGCTTCGATGAACTGGCTTCAGATAAGACTGGAGGTCTGGAGGGGACATGGTCTGACTCTCAACCCTGCTCCGCCCTGGCAGTGCCTCCCTGGGGAGCCTTTCTCAGCCAGCCTGGCACCGAGACTGGGAGGTAAGCGTGAGGCTTGCCCACTGGGTGCACGGGGAGTGCCGGAAGGCAGGCGTGCGGGGACGCTGCGGCCTGCACGTCTTCTCGGGTGTGATCACTGAACTGTGAGTCCCCAGAGGCAGGTGCAGGGCACCCAGTTTGCGGGGAGAATCACAGTGGCGGCACAGGGGCATCCTGGCAGGTGCTGAGCAATGGCCACTTTCTGATGGTGAAGAGGCAGTTGCTTCCTTGCAGGCTTTGGGGATTGTTCCAGAAAGTTCAGCCTACGGTGTGCTCTTCAGCCATCAAAACCCTCTAATAAATCTCTCTTAAGC